AGAAGAGAGAGAGAAAGAGAGAGAAAGAGAGAGAGAGAGAGAGAGGAGAGAGAGAGGGAGAGAGAGAGAGGATAGAGAGAGAGAGAGAGAGAGAGAAGAGAAGAGAGAGAGAGAGAGAGAGCAGAGAGAGAGAGAGACTTTTTTTGACTTTGACACGTTTATTGAGACAAAAGTAAGATTACATCTCAAAAGGATGAGGTAACTTAGGTTATCCTCACCCTTACTTAATAAGTCCCTATGCGGGCTCACAATTCATTATACAAAACTTAGGTACAAAAATATTTAAAATCAAATTACAGCACCTAATTTATAAAGAATTACAAGCATTACAAGAATTCAGAGTCATTGGCTTACATATCTTTAAGGTGATATAACACTCCCACCCTCATCCAGATAAGTCCTCTCCTGGGCTTGCATAATCAAATACAGCGCACAAAAAATATGCGCACGTAATATATAATTATAATCCCGGAGAAGAGATGAATCAGTTGTTGAGTGGAATGATTGAATTTCAGGAGAATGATGCCTAACATACGCCATTCATCAGCAGTAAAGTAGGAGACATTATAGTCTCAGCAGGAGAGAAGAGGAGAGAGAGAGAGAGAGAGAGAGAGAGAGAGAGAGAGAAATTCAATTTGCATGCAAAGAATGTCTTATTTAGAGAAAGTGGTGTGCTGTGAAATGGATACCTGACCAATAACCAAGGCTTTGCAATTGGTTCCCCTTTTGTTAACCTACAAAGGAAGGTCTTTCCCCTTGCTCCTTCATGCATATCCAACCTATTGGAACACTAGTACTTAAGGGGGATTACTTTAACATTGCCAACTCCTCTAATGATGTTATGATAGCAATAGAACTATAACTATTTTCTTTCAAATCAAATTATAAATATTAATTAGAATATTGAAGCACATTAGCATAACTCAAGCAAGGGCACTGGGAAAGGCACATAAAATGGACTAAATCAAATAAATTCATCTAGGACATGACCATAAGGGATGTTACAATTCTTACTATGTAAGCGCTCGAAACTAAGTTCGCCTAAATCTTGTTTTCACATTTTACAACAATTCTAGACTATAATTCATACTATGGCATAGTACAATAACCTCTTTCCTTCATTCAATAAAAGGATAGAAAGGGGCATATCTCCCTAACACAAGCACTAATTGAATACACGGATAAATGCAATTAATTTTGGGCATTCTGATTAAAAAATAATATTCACATCAACCCTTAAACTACACATGGAAGATTAATCAATCAGAAAAAAAAAAGGATGGGCATTAGAAAACTTATAAGTAATCTTGGTATCCAAACACTATTCTTTTCAGCAGCTTTGGCTAACTCTTACAATCCAGGTGATATGCCCATCACATTATAAAAAAAATTGGCTTGAGGGCCAGGTGAGGTGAACAAGTTATCAAGGAAAAACCCGGCTGAGAGCTGGGGTGATGGGAACATGTCATAATGGGAATTCTGGCTGAGGGCTGGGGTGACAAAGAATGGCAAAGTTCTTGGAGGGCAATTTCATGCAGTGGACATTTAAGAAGGGACTCTTGCATTGTTCCAAACAGTGAATTAGTGTGGAATGTATCATCCATGAGCCATAATTGGAAGTGTGTCAGCCTCAGGGAGGAAACAAATTTCTTTCTTGGAATCTTATACTTGAGTACTGTGACCAGCAGTGCACGGTGTATTACAGAAAACTGAATATCAAGGGGTGGGGGAGGAGGATCTGTCACTCACTCACTCACTCACTCACACACACATGCACGCACACGCACACACACACACACACATGCACGCACACGCACACACACACACGCACACGCACACACGTGCACATACATACACAAGTGCAAACACACACTCGCACGCGCACACACAAAATTATTCTCATTAGACTGGACACAGCATATCAAATGACAAATATAGATATCGGAAAATGGCAAAAAATCAAAGCCCTACCATTCCAGAACATACAAGAAAAGTATTGCTGACATTTGTTTTAGTATCAAAGGGCTCTGAGACAACTAAGACTGCCGTCATAAGCGCATGACATTTAGATTTCCCTTAAGTTGTATTTATAATGGCACCAAAGGTTAATCTCTATGGTATGGATGCACTAAGCTAGGGCAAATTGAAGATGACATTCTTGAAAAGGACAAAAAGTTTCAGTTGTCAACACAAGAAAAAATCTGCAGACACAGACAGATAAATAAAGGTGGTGGTCAGCACCACTCAAAAACTAAGTCCACTTGGTGCTCTTGAGTTTCAGCTTCATCTTGTTGTATATACCGAAGTGAAGATTATATTTCCCCAGGGCAGGAGAGGGGTAGAGCCCCAAAAAAGCTCTCTTTCGGCTGGGCAGTGCCCAGTTACAGCAACTAAGATACCTGAATAGATTTTGTGATGTGGAGTTAGGAACTTAGTCTCTAGTGAATGTGTCTGTATTGTAAAAATGTACTGTACAAAATGCAACTCCAACAGAAAGAGTAAAGAATTACTGCAACTGTATTGCCATACTACTTTCTGATCATATTAAGAGCAAAAATTAAGATAATTATTAACCCTAATGTTCTAACAGTTCCACATACAATGATTTTGGTATTGACGGATTGCCTTCACTCTCAACTATCCAAATATATCTAAATCATTCCGTGAACCCCTCCCCATCCTATTGGCAAAAATCTTGGCCCCAATACCAGAGGAGGGCACGAAAGATACCAGAAGAATTGCGGTGTAAATTATGATTATACACAGAATCAATCACTATAGTATCTAAAGCAGAGGACCATGCCCTCTGTAATCCTCCCTCATGGGGGTACTGTCCCTCAACCCCTGCAATGGAAGACAAAAGAATCCTCCATACATTCACAGCAGGGTAGAGCATATCACCAACATGTGGCAGCACCTGATGCCGAGTCTGTCCTACGCTATATCCTGCCATGAATACGAGGGTGATTCTTTGTTTTCCTGAGTGTGTGTTGGGGTAGCAGCCCCTATGGGGGGGTTGCAGGGGATACAGCCCTCTGAAGTCAGCACTATTGTGAAGTAATATCTTCATTATGTTAGTATGTTATGGTTAGTTTACCATGCAATTTCCTTGATACCTTTCATGCCCTCCCCTGATACTGGGGCCAAGAATGTGGGGGTTGGAGGGGGGTGGGGGTTCTGTGGCATAATTTCCTACAGATATATGTACTAAGGGGTGAGAGAAATCCATTGACATCAAAATTGTCCCAATCAGCTGAGCAAAAGTATTGTGAAAAATTACCCAAGTTTGTCATATGAGTAATATTTATACTGCAAGACAATAATATCTTTTATGATAGAAAAGTTAAATCAAATCATGGTTTTCAATATTTCTGAGAACCTAGAATCATGAAAACTGGATTCGAAAATACAGGACTTCTGTTGAAATGTCCTCTATTTGTAAATAATAGTTGCAAATATTAAGTGCCATTGTAACACCTATTTTGTATACCTATCTTCTTTTTATAATGGCCTTTCTGTGGTCTCATAATAAAAAAAAAAAAAAAATCCTGTACTAATATGAAAACTATATTAGCTAATCAAATGTCAACTGAAAGTTCAAAAAACAATTATATGCAACTTATAATTTATGTAAATCTATGATGATTCTTCTGCAGCAACTTTAAAAATTGAGTTTTCTTTTAAAGTCATATTGTTACAAGGTATATTGATGTGGCTGAATATCAAAGACTTCCTATAACACTGACACAGCAACTGGTGTTTCCTGTATATAACCATGTCTACAGCATAAATTACCTCCATTTAACCAGCTTCTAATCAAAACAATCAATTTCTTGGTCTGTATTCTGTATACATTTAGAGAACACCTTATTCAATTCAGGCTTCTTGGTCCAAGACATCCTCACTTGTCAGTATTCCAGTACTAGGCATCAAACCTCTACACAACAAACCAGGATTGATGTAGATTTGACAGAAGTCTAACCTTAGCAACAAGCGCCACACTATTGGTTGTTCAAGTCAAGAATTTGCACCACTTTTGTGACTGTACACCTCCCCAGGAATAAAATATTAACCCATTAACGACGGGTGTCCCACATATGAGACACCTGAAAAAATAAACATTTCCGGGAGTTCCGCCACTGTGATGCT